AGGCCAAATAAGGAATTCAAACAAAAAAAAAAGTAATTTTCTGCTTTTTTTTTATTCTTGGATCAGGCTTTAAAGGGTTAAGAAGAGTTTTAAAACGAGACAGAGAGGTGAATAAACACAACAAAGGCTGAGGCGGACCTCATAGTTTGCCTAGCAACAGGTGACCGTGCGGGGGGGGCCTTACCTTGGGCCACTTGGGGTTGAAGACCATTAGCCGTCCGTTAGCAGCCTGTTAGCCGGGCGATAGCCGGTCGATAGCAGGCCGTTAGCCGGCTGCTAACCGGCCGTTAGCCGGCTGCTAACCGGCCGTTAGCCGACCTTAGCAGGCCGTTAGCCGGCTGCTAACCGGCCGTTAGCAGGGCGGACCTCAGATCTCGCCCGGCAACAGGTGACCTTCCGGGGGGGGCCTTACCGTGGGCCACTTGGGGTTCATACCCATTAGCCGTCAGTTAGCAGCCTGTTAACCGGGCGTTAGCCGGTCGATAGCAGGCCGTTAGCCGGCTGCTAACCGGCCGTTAGCCGACATTAGCAGGCCATTAGCAGGTTGTTAGCCGGCAGTTAGCAGGCCAATAACAGGGCGGACCTCAGATCTCGCCCGGCAACAGGTGACCCTCCGGTAGCGCCTTACCTTGGGCCACTTGGGGTTGATGATGCGGGCCTGGAGGGCGTCCTCCAGGGCGGGGCCGTATTGGCCCAAACGGATGCGCGCGGCGGAGCGGTTGCTGTACAGGATGGGGTTCTGCGGGTCGGAGGCCAGGGCGTCGCCATAGAGACGCTCGGCCAGCCCGAACTCCCCCTGCTGGCAGGCCTGGTTACTGCGCCGCACGCAGTCCAGGAACTCCGCTTTGCTCAGGGCCGCCGCGGGAGAGGAGGAGGAGGAAGAGGAGGAGGAGGAGGAGGAGGAGGAAGGGGGGTTGGAGGGTTTGCCCGAGGAGCGGGAGCCAAAAAGAGAGAACTGGGGAGAAGATGGTGGAGGGGAAGGACAGGAGGAGGTGGAGACAGAGACAATTAACTCATTGAGTTTTTTGAGCATTTTGACTGTTTTTTCAAGAGCCACAGAATAGTTTGTGCTATGACTATGTAAACACCGAACACACCAAAAGAAAGAGTAGACTCTCTTCTTTCATCAGGAAAAGAAAATTGTTTCTACCTTATTCCATTCTTTAGTAATCAGCAGTAGAACATAGGTTGGTTTCAACAAAAACACCAGTTTTTGACCAATAAATGGAGAAAACAAGCTTTTTGTGGAAAGATACAGTTCAAGCAGAGAAGTGTCTTTGATGCTATTTTTGGGGCTTTAGTGACACCTCAAACACCTTAAAAGTTGTATCCTTCCATAAAACAGCAAAAAAACATCTAGAAATGGTATTAACTCATTGACTGCCAGCCATTTTCAGAACAGAGAGTCCCATACTGCCAGAGTTTTTTTGGAGCATTTTGACTGATTTTTCAAGAGCCACAGAATAGTTTGTGCTATGACTACGTAAACACCGAACACACCAAAAGAAAGAGTAGACTCTCTTCTTTCATCAGGAAAAAACAAGTGTTTCTACCTTATTCCGTTCTTTAGTAATCAGCAGTAGAACATAGGTTGGTTTCAACAAAAACACCAGTTTTTGACCAATAAATGGAGAAAACAAGCTTTTTGTGAAAAGATACAGTTCAAGCAGAGAAGTGTCTTTGATGCTATTTTTTGGGCTTTAGAGACACCTCAAACATCTTAAAAGTTGTATCCTTCTATAAAACGGCAAAAACAACATCTAGGAATGGTATTAACTCATTGACTGCCAGCCATTTTCAGAACAGAAAGTCCCATACTGCCAGTTTTTTTGGAGCATTTTGACTGATTTTTTAAGAGCCACAGAATAGTTTTTGCTATGACTATGTAAACACCGAACACACCTAAAGAAAGAGTAGACTCTCTTCTGTCATCATGAAAAAGAAATTGTTTCTACCTCATTCCGTTCTTTAGTAATCAGCAGTAGAACATAGGTTTGTTTCAACAAAAACACCAGCTTTTGACCAATAAATGGAGAAAACAAGCTTTTTGTGAAAAAATACAGTTCAAGCAGAGAAGTGTCTTTGATGCTATTTTTTGGGCTTTAGTGACACCTCAAACATCTTAAAAGTTGGATCCTTCTATAAAACGGCAAAAACAACATCTCGCTAAATCGCTAAATTCATCTGACCCGGAACTATCTGCAGAGTTGGGCTGTGGTGAAACACGCCATGTTTCTCCATTTTAAATTACAAAATAATTTATTCACAAATACATTTATGTAAATAGTTATGAAACACGCCGTGAGCTATGCCTACTCTCTCCGCCTGGCCCGGGTGGATCTCCTTCATTTCCCACGATCGGGACACCAACCGAACTACTGCGATTGCGACACAAACTCTGTTTGAGTGTGAACTTCCTGGACTTGCGTCTCACCGGCGACATGTTCTCTCATAGCGAACCGTTCCCTTTTTCTTATTTGCCTACAGTCTATGCTCATCTCCCATCAAAAGTGGCACTGCCCCCTAGAGGGTCAATTTGTTACTACATACTCTGTCTAGAAGCCCGATATTTACGGACAAGCTTTAGCAGATCGTCCCCCAGCCACTCGTTGAAAAACATAAAAGACGTCTATAGAAGTCTTTGGCAGCCAATGAGTTAATAAAAGGTTTGAACTGCATGAGTAACCGCCAAAATGACCGATAGCTTAAAACATGACACTAAAATGTATAAACATTATTTATAAGACTATGATTACAAGCTCTGCAGCAGTCTCCTCACAAACGAATGAAGTTGTCCGGTGGTAATCAACTGTCGAAAAAAGCATGTTTATTGATTGATCCCTTTGAACTTCTTCGGCTAACTAGTGAACCAAATCAAACTCTGGTGAAGGGGGGGTAACTCCTCTTCCTCAATACGATGGAGGAAAGGAAAGAAGAAAACAGGTTAAAATACTGAAGTCTGTTTTCGACTTTTATTTAAATCTCTGTTTGATCAAATGTAGTCAGATTGTTCACCACAAATAAAACTGTAAATAAAGGGGAGATGTTTTATATAAAAGGTTATTAAGGAATCAGAAACCCATCAGCTACATCTCAGGGTCTCCAGGCCTCAGTTAGCGGCCTAAAGGTCAAAGGTCAAAACAGGTTTGAAGTCCAGAAACCAGCCTGATGGAATCCGTGGTCCATCAGAGTCCAGAAACCGCAATAAACCACCAATAAAGAGTTATTAAGGTCTTCCATAAATCAGAAACCCAGCAGCTACATCTCAGACTCTCCAGGCCTCAGTTAGCGACTTAAAGGTCAAAGGTCAAAACAAGTTTGGAGTCCAGAAACCAGCCTGATGGACAGTGTAGCTCTTTGGATCCCTGTGAAGGGGGTGGGGGGGTCTTGGGGAGCTAAAATTCACTTGAGCCTAATTTTCCAATATCTTAAGACCTAAATCTGTTCACATGAAAACTAAGAACTAGCTTAAATCCCCAAACAAAAACAGCCTTTGTCCGACACATTATCTGCTTTCGGCAGCATTCGAGGGTTTATTTCTGCTTTTCCACTCGGTGGTGAGCGTCTGCATATCTCCGACAGATATTGATAGAAAGCCGGAGAGTCAGACAGAGTTACTCAGTCAGACGGGGGCTCGGTTCCTGTCGCTAACAGCCGCTAAAGTTGGTGTAAAAGTGCAGCCTGAGGTTCTCCAGCATGGAGGCACCGCCTCTCCCTCTGATCTGGTGTTTCCAAATTTGTCCTCTCACCAGAGCTTACACCAAGGCCTTCATTATCTCTCTCTATTCCAGGCCCCTCAAACACACACACACACACACACACACACACACACACGAACACACATTTAACTTAAAATATGCAGACTGAAGGGATTCCTGAAACTTCCAAATGCATCACCCAGCATTTTGTGACTGGGAGGGAAGTGAGAGACGAAGAGAAAGAATCACTCAGAGTCCCAGACCATGACTGATAGTCCCCAATCTTTGACTTGAGGCATACAGAATAAATAGATAACACTAAAATAAATATAAATAAGTAAAAACACTGCCCGCACAGGATAAAAATATGCATGTATATACATAAAATCTACGCTCTACATGGTGTCAAAAGCCAAAGAAAAGAGGTGGGTTTTAACCCTATAATGCCAAATGTATCATATTTGATACATACGGTTTCTGAAATGTTTTGTTTCTGACACCTTTTGCATAATTTAATGGTAAAAACTTTGCTCAAAATCCTATTGTACACAATCAGATACACCTGATAACAGGGGGCAGAAGATTACACAAAAGATAATCTTGACTAATATTAGTATTAAAAATGTATTTCTGTTGTTAAAAGGCCAAATAAGGAATTGAAACAAAAAAAAAGTAATTTTCTGTTTTATTTTGTTCTTGGATCAGGCTTTAAAGGGTTAAAGAGCCCATCCATTCGGTATTTTCAGGCGATTTCTGGAGTTTTTATTGGCTGATTTTCTCTTGTTCTCAGTCAGATTCTTTTGTATTTTTATTTAGTTAAGCCATTTCACTCCAGTCTACGAGTCAGTCCGTTAGAAAGGGGCTAACTCAAGGGATGAGCCGGTGTCGTGTCTACACAGAACAACACTGGCTAACATGCTTTAGTTGATGTTGTAAGAAGGCCAAAGATGGCAGAGTTTGACAGACAGATAATAGGATTTTTAAGGGCAGATTCCCTGATCCGTCTCCTGGTGGCCTCATCAGAAATGAAAACCAGAAGTGGACTGTGTGGGATCATCTGACAGAGAATGGAGAGCTTTGGGACGTCCTTCAATCCTTCAAGAAGCTGGAGAACTTCTCCTGGAGGCTCCTTAACTTTCTTTAACTCATTGGCTGCCAAAGACGTTTATAGACGTCTTTTATGTTTTTCAACGAGAGTGGCTGGGGGACGATCTGCTAAAGCTTGTCCGTAAATATCAGGCTTCTAGACAGAGTATGTAGTAACAAATTGACCCTCTAGGGGGCAGTGCCACTTTTGATGGGAGATGAGCATAGACTGTAGGCAGATAAGAAAAAGGTAACGGTTCGCTATGAGAGAACATGTCGCCGGTGAGACGCAAGTCCAGAAAGAACGGAATAAGGTAGAAACACATTTTTTTCCTGATGAAGGAAGAGAGTCTACTCTTTCTTTTGGTGTGTTCGGTGTTTACATAGTCATAGCACAAACTATTCTGTGGCTCTTGAAAAATCAGTCAAAATGCTCAAAAAACCCTGGCAGTATGGGACTCTGTTCTGAAAATGGCTGGCAGTCAATGAGTTAATGAAGGATCTTCTCCTGGAGGTTCCTTAACTCCTTATGGAAGGACACAGTTGCTGGCAGAGGGCTCAGAGATGGAGGAGGAAGGACAGATCCTTGGATTTACTCCCTGCTTGCCTGAATAAATAGAAATTAAGCCACTTCTGTAGAGACCTACAGTAACACGTCAGATGTCAGAGCACGGTAATGCAGAGAAAATGAAGCAGAAGGAGGAGATCCGTCTCCATTAGCTTAAATTGTAAGCTGGTTGTGAACACTGTCCTTTTGGCCACTCTTAAACTTTGTGCAGGTTATCTGGAGGAACAAACCTGGAGTTGGACAGACTAAGTGAGCCATTTTATATTTTTCTAATGTCCTAATCAGACCCAATTTGCCAACCTCAAAGATGTGAAGGCATAATGGTCCTTTTTGAGTCAACAAGTGATTGAGATTCATTCCCGGAAGCTACTTACACAAAATCTTAATTTTCTATGAGCTCCTCTAATTGACTAGACACTATTATCTCCCCTAATTCACACATTTTGTGGGCATCTCCATGCAAAAACAGACACACAAAAGGAAACGTGCCGGTAAATTAACTTGCTAAAGAACCTCAGAGGCATTGAAACACAACGAAGTCCCAACTTTTTCCAGCAAAAATGCTAATTAGCATCCTCATGGAAACACAACCGCAGATGTCTTAAGCTGTAAGCGTCCTCATGGGCTTCCACAATGAAGAAAAAAAACCACCGAAAACACAATTACTGAGCTGTCAACAGCGTTCGGGGCTTTTTTTCTTTCCTCTCATTCACAATTCTTCGCACATGTCAGCAAACACAAAAAGACGGAACAACCATGCCCTTTAATAGTAGAGTTTTCTTGTTTGTGAGGGTTAAACACTCAGTTATTGGATATTTGTGGGCCGGATACAGGAAAAATGCTACAAAAGCAATGACAAACATAACATCCTCCTTCTGAGCTTTTTTAAATTGATCAGGTAAGAGAGTTAAAGAAGTCTCCTCCCCTGAAAAATATAATTTATTTTTCAAAATGATCACAATATAATGCATTTATCAAAGTCAACATGTTCCATGGTGTTAACCAGCTACTTTTTTGTATATTTTCCCTTGATTTCTTGAAGGGACACAAAGAAATAAACAACATAAACAGACTTATTCCAGCCTTTTATTATTATATTTTATTATTTTATTATACTATCTTTGAAAGGGCTCACATTGTACACACAAAAGTGAAAATTCAACTAGGCTAAAATACATTTTTATTTCAATTAATGTGTAGAAATCTGTAGAGATTGAGGGGTATCAGGCCCAAACTGTCCAATACCCCGAGTTACTGGGCTAATAAACCCTGTTTAATATATAAAAGAAAGCATTTGTTGCAAAGCAATCAGTTTTCTGACAATTTAAGACTTTGAATATTGTTTTTTGCTAACCTTTAAGTCAAATTAAATAAGGCTAACCTGATTACGCGAGGGGTAAAAGGCAGCACGTAAAGCCGAGCTGCTAAGCTATGCTAAATAGCGCTAACCTGATTAGCCTATTTTTCTGGTGCTTTTACATAACTGGATTTAGCTGCACTGTTAAGTTTACAAAAGCCCCCTTTCTAGTAACAGGACGAAGCGTAAAACCGATTATTATGAGGGAAACTGAAGACAAACGGGTCAAATAGCTTTAGCTAAGATACATGCTAGCTGTTAGCAGATGGGTAAAGCGTTTCCATTTAAAGGGAGGTTATCAAATTTGACAATGACATCACGCTCCATTGAATTAAAGTCAATTGGGTTTGTTTATGCGCCACATCT